CGCAGTAGAAAAGAAATTGAACCTAAAACTCCATTAATGCCATCAGAGTGTTAATACAATTTGCATCAACGTATTTATGTGAAACTGGATTTAGCAAACTAGTTTCAATAAAAACTAAATACCGCTCGCGTTTAAACCCTGAAGATGATATGCGAATTGCAATTAGCAACATACATCCAAACATCGATGAGATAATTAGAAACTTGCAGCCACATACATCTCATTAAAGGGCAATTTACTGATTTTTGTGTTATACAAAAAGTATTTTCTTAACATTATAAATAAAATTAATATGAGTCAAATATGATGATGTTTTTATTCGATGAAACGAAAGAAATGCGCGAAATATACATCGTATTTGTGAACATTTATCTCTGGGGGTCGCCAAAAATTTTCTCTCTGCAAAAGGGGTCGCAGTCGAAAAAAGTTTGCGCACCACTGTCTTAGAGGATTGTTTGTTTCACCGTGGTGTCTTCTTGCAGGTGTTTCATGAGCAATATATGGAAAATAAAGTGATGGATTTAAGTCCCCCTAAAAAACGACAGAAGAAATCCTACATAAATAAAGCTGAGAAGGAAATAATATTGAACATTTATGAAACAGAAGTGCATTCAAAACCAGATGTTCCAATCATTGATGTGGCTGACCATGCGGCTTCTGGATCGGGATTTAGCACAGCTTCTGTTCTCAGAATTAGTAAAGAATATAAAAGGGATGACATATTACATTCACCGAAGAGGCCTAAATCTCGTAAAACTTTTTTGGATGACATTGACGATTTCGACAAAAATGCTGTAAGAAGAAAAGTTCATGATTTTTTTCCGCCGTAACGAAATTCCGACAATAAACAAAGTTCTCAAAGCTGTGAACGATGATTCTGATTTACCAAACTTTAAAAGAACGACATTTTATTCCCTGTTTAAAAAATTAGGCTTCAAACCTTAAAAACGAGGACGGAACAGCTCACTCATTGAAAACGATGAAATAATTTTGTGGAGGCGAAGATATTTAAGAACAATTAACAGAATGAGACAAGAAGGAAGAAAAATTTATTATATGGATGAGACATGTGTGATAATGTTAATTATCACAACTTCATACTCTCCTTAATTTATTTAAGTTTTTTTAAATTGCTTTACTTTTGTCCTCTTAACTCTTAATTTCTTGTTTACGAGTTCCTGCTCTTAACTTCATTAACGTTCAGTTTATAATTAAATCTGTTATCAATTTACAATGTATATGTTTGAATACTGCATATCCTTATCAATTATTAACTTTCACAGATTTTTATTATGTTTTATATTTTAATTAAGCTATATTAATTTATTTATAATTGTTTATTACTGGTTTTTTCTTTTATTCAGTCATGCACTGCCTTAAAGTATTTTCCCCAATCTTATTCTTTACCAACTGTAACTTGATACTATTTCTGCACCCTCCTTTTACTTCTCTTCTCTGCAGCTGGCACCTGTGCCTCCCTTGGTCAGTTGGGAGATAGGGTTTATGTATGTTCGCCTCTCATTTACACCCCTTTTGCAGCTGCATCCGCTGGTCAAGGCGTGTATACATAAAAATATATAAAATTTTATGTTTTAGTCCCCTTATCCTTGTGACATTTTCTTTTCCTCTCACAGTAGGTGATTTTTTAATTGCGTTCTGGTCGGAAATCGTTTCTTAACCTTTTAGCCCTTTCGACCTTTTCTTCACTTTTCACACAGGAGTGTAAAGCCACGTGTTGGTTGCACGGTCCCTTACTTGGTTCTTTTGTCCGCCAATAATTCCTTAGGGGATTGGGCGAGAAACAGCCCACTTTTTTTTTCATTGGCTTTCCTGATACTCCTTTTTTTGTTTTGACCCTCGTTGGTTATTTTACAACGAGACGGAGTTTTCTTAAGGCGATGCATGACGAAGAAAATAGGAGAATGACAATTATTTTAATGACAAGATTTTTGTTGAGTGATAAAAAAAAAAAAAATTCGAGATACCTTGCGGAAAATTTTGGTTAAGAACGCTCTGTGCTTTATGAAATGTGAAAGTTATCTGGTGAAAGTATCTACCAATGTGTCAAAACGATATAACAACAAATAAACAGATGTATATAATAGTGATCCGTGCTCTGTGTTTTTTCCCCCTTCAATACAGCAATCGCTGTGTCATCGCCATGTTGGATGAGTAGTCATTTCTATTAATAGCAAATGATATTCGAACTCCCAAGAATGTGACTACCTTAATTTTTTTTATATGCATTTCTCCTTATCATTTTGTGCATCTCCTTATCATTGTATCGTTTTCTTTTTGTTTCATCCCCTTGTTTCTAAATTTATGACTCAATGGACCTATTGGGTTATTCGGTGCTCGACAATGCTGTACCACCGCTATTCGGCCTATTTAAACGCAATGTAAGAAATAATATGCAACCGTGCTCTATTGATTTAATTATTAATTAGTTTAATTCCTCATACATTCTTGTGGGCTAACCTTGTAACATACACAACCTGTTTTTTACTTTTTTTAAGATTTCATGTGTGTAAAATTCAATTGTCTCGCTATTTTATTGAGATGCAAACATCAATCTTATAAATCATTTTAAGCTTAACTATTTTTTTTTAAATCTTAACAATTATTATTAATTTTAAATTCATAACGCCCATTAAATAAACAAATAAAATAATAACTTTAAGAGACATGGTTGAATGCTGGACATACGCAAGACAAAGTGTGGAATGATACGTCCATTATCTCGTCAAAACAGGCATTTTTATCTAGTCCGTCTACAGCAGTGTTTCCCAAACTTATGACTTTTGAGTACCCTTTCTAAATTTTTTGTAACGCTGTGCACCACTAATAAAAAAATGAATGTAATTTTTATTATAAAAAAGTTGCCCAAACGTTAAAAATCACAACTGGTTGTTGACACCACAAATTATTAACTTTATCTCTGCAAAAAATAGCCAATAGAAAAATGCGTAATCGTAAATTTTCATGGCTAGCTTTGTTTTGAAATAAAATATTTGAAATTTTCGCTTGTTGCAAGATATTTCGCATAAGAACGCGTACCCCTGGGGGTACGCTTACCACACTTTGGGAAACACTGGTCTACAGGATTAAAATCGCTTTTTGGCAAAGGTGAGAGACTTTTTATTACGCACATTGGTAGCGATGCAGGCTTTTTAAAAGAAGGACTTCTACTTTTTAAATCGAACAGAAACAAGGATTACCATAAGGATCGCTGTGATGGACAATGCACCATATCACTCTCGTAAAGAAGAAAAATTTCCTAACACATCATCGACAAAGCAAGTAATTAAAGACTGGCTAAAATCTAAAAACATTGTTAGTCATGAAGAAGGAATGCTAAAATCAGAACTACTGGATATAATGAAGGCTCATAAGCACAGATTTCACAAATTCTTGGTGGATGAACTTGCTAGACGCAATAATATAATGATTATAAGGCTGAACTATAAGGCTATCACGCTGAATTGAATCCAATTGATCTGATTTGAGCCCAAATGAAAGTCACAGTGGCCAAAGAAAACAAAACTTTCAAGTTATCGGAAGTAGAAGGATTGCGCATGAGAAGTTTAAATGAAATTGGAGTTGAAAAGTGGAAAAATTGCATTGAGCATACTCAGAAAATCGTAAAAGAGATGTGGGATTTGGACGAAGCCATCGAAAACACTGTTAATTCTCTAGTAATAAATATCAATTCCAACGACGAGGATTCTACAAGTTCTGAGAGTGAATCATGAGATAAGTTTCATTTTTAATGATATAATTATTCGTTATTATCCATGATTAATTCATCGTTTATACAGTAATTCTTAAAATTTTGTTCTTTTCTGCATAGTTTAATATAATTATTTTTGTTTTCGATGCAGTTTTTAATTATATACAGAAATTCAAATGTTACGTAAAATTAAATAATTTTGATACTTCATTCTATTTTCAAAAACCTATTGAATTCGAAGTTTCCAAACTGCTTTTTTTTATAGGTTAAGTACCCACTTAACCTATAAAAAAAAAGGGTTGCTGCACTTAACAAAAGATTTTGTGAGACATATAAAAAAGTTTAAAGTTTCCTTTAGTGTGATTATTTTCGTAATATTTTCCTTAGAAAAATAAAGATAACAGTTTAAAAATACAAATAAATGCAGTTCCTTCAAATATATTTTTAAATCAATCGGTGAAACATAAAACTATTTTAAATATTATTTAACTTACAATAAATTTTAAAAAAAATTTTAATTATGAAAATAAAAAGTTTTTTTTTTAATATATTCTTTCAATTCTATACAACTTTTACGATGGAATTATAAAAGTTATGTTTTGCATAGATATTTATGCAAAACATATTAAAACTAATTTAATTTAAACTTAAAAAATAAAAATAAAAACTACATTAAAACTATTCTCAAAGTAAAATTATGTGTTTACTGAAACAATTAGAAAGGTATTCTAATTTTGCTCTTTCTTATCTAATTTGAAGGTATGAAAAACCGAATATCGCTTTTCTATAAAAGCGAAAGCTCTGTCGATTCAAACGAAATCGCCCATTCAGCGAAGGAAATGTTGAAGAGGCAAACGTTGGCGATCAAACAGTAACCCTTATGTTTACTTCCGCTATCAGTTCTCTTTGAACAGGTGAGCCTTGAAATAACTCATATTTTATCAAGATCAAAAGTTTGAACTCGTATAAATCACACTAATAGCAAAATATTCTTTTTCTTTTCGTGTGAGCAAAATCAATGGTAAGTGCTTTTTTCTTTCTTTTTTGCATTGTTTTTTCAAGGAAGTTTGACGAATGGTAACCATTTTTTTTATTCAAAATTTCATTTCAACTCATTATCTAATATTTAAATTAGCTCAGCCGAAAATCCATAGAAAGTTTAATCTCATCAACTGATGTAGAGCGATAGTTATAAACTTTACAAGCGCTTCGTTGTTGTTGAATGTTAAAAGTGACGTAATACGATTTTCAAAATAAAATTCTTGCTTTTGAGTTTCAGGAAAATCTTAAAGCGATACTTAATTCGCCATCGCAACGAACTGTAGGGGGCGTTGTTGTATGAGACGAATACCTGCGATTTCTATATGAACAGTCATTCAGTTACTCTAGAGACGTCTTGAAAGTAGCGTGTAGCATTGCGACGTTCCTTCTTTATTGTGACTTACTAAATTTAAAAAAGAAAAATGTTTGACATTCTTTCTTATGGAAAAGAAAACAAAATGGTATTTCTTGTCTTTAGAGAAGAAACATCCAAAACACATCGGAAAAATATTTCTACAAAAATAGAAAGAAATATGTATATTTTTATAAGAGTTAAAACCTAATTCCCGAGAAATAGTTTTACTGAATTTAATGAAATAACATGAAAGGCCTATTTAAACTTCACATTCCGTAGTTTTAAGAATCATATTACTTCAAAAATTAAAATGAATAAAAAGTATACGTAAGCCTCATAATTATATAAAATTTAATTTGGTAAAAAAAGTTTTTTGACAACAATTCTTATCGAAAAATTTTAAGTTTCAATAAAAAATTCTTATTTAAAAAACTAAAATAAGGAATGCTTACGAAACAAAAAAAAAAGCAATTCTTTCTTGAAGCCATTTTTTTGTGCTACGAAAATTCGTCTTCGGGATTTGCCAAAAACAAAACAAGATGCAATTTTTTTTTCAGGAGCGAAATATTTTACCAAAAAAAAAAGAACGAAATTGTACCAATTCCCATGACATGAAACTTTATCTTGGTAAACGTACTTTTTGGAAATATTATTTCATTTGGAATCTTATTTATTAGAGTTAATAAAGCGAAGCATCAGGTGAAAGAAAATAGAGATTGTTTTGAATCTATGTTAAACTCTATATCGGCCAATTTCCCACCGAAATCAGATTGACTACTTTGATTTTAAATAAAGTGTTTCATTTTATGATCTGTCGCAAAAATTTTAGGTGTAGATTGGCGGCACTTGAAAACCGCCAAATCTGTAGTGCGGTGGCGTTAATACATAAGCACCGAATTTTTATTCCATACTTTTCAGAATCATATTACCTTAAACATTAGAATATGCAAGAAGTATACATAAACACATAATGTTATACCATTTCATTTTTCAAAAAAAGTATTTTGACACCAATTTTTATCTAAAAACCATAAACTAAAAAACGTAAAACAAAGAATTCGCTGGATAAAAAACGATTTTAAAAATTCCTCATATTAAAATTAAAAAAATCTGTCATATAACTATATACTCTTATACTATATGNGAAGAAAATAATTACTAGTTATTTCTTCTGGTAGCTTGAAATGTATAGTTCGAGTAAGTGAACTCAAAAATAAGGATTTACTAAATGAATTTTGATAAAAAACGGATTTCAAGAAGATGTCTCTATTACCGATATTTAAACTCCATTAATAATTTAAAATTTATGGTAAAACAAAAAGTGATTTCATAAGACCTTAGAGTAAACTATGAACTTTCAAATGCTGAAAGAATTTTTCCAAAATATCAAAATGCAAAAAAGTTATTAGCAAATGAAGCTCCCATAGAAAAAGCATTAGCAGCTGGCATTGAGAGGGTAGGTATTGCGTCCTCTTAAGGATATGAATGCAGCGTGTTTCGAAGAATGGTTCGAGAAAATTCTACCCTTTCTAGAGCCGAACTCTGCCGTTGTGATGGACAATGCACCATATCACTCTCGTAAAGAAGAAAAAATTCCTTACACATTCATCGCCAAAGCAAGTAATTAAAGACTGGCTAAAATCTAAAAACATTGTTAGTGAGGAACAAGGTATGCTAAAAACATAACTACTGGATATAATGAAGGCTCATAAGCACAGATTTCACAAATTCGTGGTGGATGAACTTGCTAGACGCAATAATATAATGATTTTAAGGCTTCCCCCCTATCACGCTGAATTGAATCCAATTGAGCTGATTTGAGCCCAAATGAAAGGTTTAGTGACCAAAGAAGACAAAACTTTCAAGTTATCGGAAGTAGAAGGATTGTGCATGAGAAGTTTAAATGAAATTGGAGTTGAAAAGTGGAAAAATTGCATTGAGCATACTCAGAAAATCGAAAAAGAGATGTGGGATTTGGACGAAGCCATCGAAAACACTGTTAATTCTCAAGTCATAAATAAATATTCCAACGACGAGGATTCTACAAGTTCTGAGAGTGAATCCTGAGATATGTTTAATTTTTAATGATATAATTATTCGTTATTATCCATGATTAATTCATCGTTAATACAGTAATTCTTAAAATTCTGTTCTTTTCTGCGTAGTTTAATATAATTATTTTTGTTTTCGGTACAGTTGTTAATTAATTACAGAAATTCAAATGTTACGTAAAATTAAATAATTTTGATACTTCATTCTATTTTCAAAAACCTATAGAATTCAAGGTTTACAAACTGCTTTTTTTATAGGTTAAGTAGGTATATTTTTCTTAACAAAAGATTTTGTGAGATATATAAAAAAGTTCCAAGTTTCTTTTAGTGTAATTATTTTCGTAATACTTCCATTAGAAAAATAAGGATAACAGTTTAAAAATACAAATAAATGCAGTTCCTTCAAATATATTTTTAAATCAATCGGTGAAACATAAAACTATTTTAAATATTTAACTTATAAAAAATTTTAAAAAAATTTTAATTATGAAAATAAAAAGTATTTTTTTAATATATTTTTTCTATTCTATACGACTTTTACGATGGAATTATAAAAGTTATGCTTTTCATAGATATTTATGTAAAGTATATTAAAATTAATTTAATTTAAACTTTAAAAAAAAACTACATCAAAACTATTCTCAAAGTAAAATTATGTGTTTACTGAAACAATTAGAAACGTATTTTAATTTTGCACTTTCTTATCCAATTTGAAGGTATGAAAAACCGAATATCGCTTTTCTATAAAAGCGAAAGCTCTGTCGATTCAAACGAAATCGCCCATTCAGCGAAGAAACCGTTGAAGAGGCAAACGTTGGCGATCAAACAGCAACCCTTATGTTTACTTCCGTTATCAGTTCTCTTTAAACAGGTGAGCCTTGAAATAACTCTTATTTTATCAAGATCAAAAGTTTGTACTCGTTTAAATCACACTAATATTCTTTTATTCAAAATATTATTTTTCATTTCGTGTGAGCAAAATCAATGGTAAGTGTTTTTTCCTTTCTTTTTTGCACTGTTTTTTCAAGGAAGTTTGACGAATGGAATGACCATTTTTTTTAATTCAAGATTTCATTTCAAATCATTATCTAATATTTAAATTAGCTCAGCCGAAAATCCATAGAAAGTTTAATCTTATCAACTGATGTAAAGGGATAGTTATAAACTTTACAAGCACTTAGTTGTTGTTGAATGTTAAAAGTGACGTAATACGATTTTCAAAATAAAATTCTTGCTTTTGAGTTTCAGGAAAATCTTAAAGTGATACTTCATTCGCTATCGCAATGAACTGTAGGGGGCGTTGTTGTATGAGACGAATACCTGCGATTTCTATATGAACAGTCATTCAGTTACGCTGGAGACTTCATTAATGTAGCGTGTAGCATTGTAACGTTCCTTCTTTATTGTGGCTTATTAAATTTAAAAAAGAGAAGTTTTTGATATTTTTTCTTATGGAAAAGAAAACAAAATAATATTTCTTGTTTTTAGATAAGGAACATCTAAAACACATCGGAAAAATATCTCTACATAAATAAAAATAAATATGTATATTCTTATAAGAGTTAAAATCTAATTCCCGAGAAGTAGTTTTACTGAATTTAATAAAATAACATGAAAGGCTTTTTTAAAATTTACATTCCATAGTTTTAAGAATCATATTACTTCAAAAATTAAAATGAACAAAAAGTATACATAAGCCTCATAATTTTATAAAATTTAATTTGGTAAAAAAAGTTTTTTGACAACAATTCTTATCGAAAAATTTTAAGTTTCAATAAAAAAATCATTATTTAAAAAACGTAAAGTAAAGAAGGTTACCAAACAGAAAGAAAAAAAAACAATTCTTTTTTGAAGCCATTTTTTTGTGCTACGAAAATTCGTCTTTGGGATATGCCAAAAACAAAACAAGATGCAATTTTATTTTTTCNAAAAAAAAAAAAAAAAAAAAAAAAAAAAAAAAAAAAAAAAAAAACAGACAAAGAACGAAAATGTACCAATTCCTATGACATGAAACTTTATCATGGTAAACGTACTTTTTGGAAATGTTATTTCATTTGAAATCTTATTTATTAGAGTTAATAAAGCGAAGCATCAGGTGAAGGAAAATAGAGATTGTTTTGAATCTATGTTAAACTCTATATCGGCCCCTTTCCCACCGAAATCAGATTGACTACTTTGATTTTAAATTAAGTGTTTCATTTTATGATTTGTCGCAAAAATTTTAGGTGTAGATTGGCGGCATTCAAAAACCGCCAAATCTGTAGCTGTGGTGGCCTTAATACATAAGTACCGAATTTTTATTCCATACTTTTCAGAATCATATTACCTTAAACATTAGAACATGCAGGAAGTATACATAAACACATAATGTTATGCCATTTAATTTTTCAAAAAAAGTATTTTGACAACAATTTTTATTTAAAAACCATAAACTAAAAAACGTAAAACAAAGAATTCGCAGGATAAAAAACGATTTTAAAAATTCCTCATATTAAAATTAAAAAAACTGTCATATAGTTTCTTTTTTTTATTCTTATAGTTCTTAATCAGACGTAAAAAACCATTCTGTAGAGAACTATCATCAAATAAATAAAAAAAAAATTTACAAGCAAATTTTTTATTATGAAAATCATAGCACTTACCTGATTTATAAATCCGGAGAATTCCAATATGATATGTTCTTTGTTTGAAAACTTTTTTCTCAAATAATATATACATAGTTTATCCCTTCATTACTTTTAGATAACATACCACACAGCAAAATATTATAATTATAAGATCTCGATATGAATTTTAATATGTAACTTAAAAACAGAATAGCTGAATTCTAGTTGAAGTTATTCTTTCATAAATAAAAAATACTTACCAAGAAAACGATAAAAATTTATTAATAATCATCACAAATCGCACTATTTCAAGTAATTTGGATGATTTTCTATTGTTGTTTTCAGAATTATATAGATACAGAAGTATACACTATTCTATAACGAAGAAGAATATTCTATAACTCTTACAGTTCTGAATTCACATTTATTGATTGGAATGAAGAAAGCAATGTTGACTTCACTTTGATTTGTAAAGGATTGAAGTCATAAAAAATGTCTTTTAACGTAATATACACATCTGTAATAGTATGCGAGTCCGAAATCGGAAGTTAACAGTTGCAAGTTTGTTGATAATAGAAATTAAAAATTATTGAGGAATTTTTCTTCAAATGTTTGGCGTGTTCTGTTCCTGAAAGATTTGCCAATATTCTGGAGAGTTTTTTCTTGGCCTTTTCCTTAGGGAAATTTTGCTTCTTATTTGCTGCTGAAAAATGGCGTCTGATTCTGCCAATGATTTTGATAGAACTAAATGAAAAGTTAATAAATTAATGCTTGATATTTTCAGGCTCCCGTTAAAGGGCATACTCGAGCGTTTCGATCGCGAATTGAAAAGTATAAACATTTAAAGCTCGTTGCAATATTTATTTATTAAAGTAAATATTTATTTGTTTTATTTCAGTTCTTGTACAATCAGTTGATTATTGTATGGTATTTGCTTCCAGGAACTAAGGGTATTAACTAGTTACATGACATATATTGCAACTCTTAACGTTACAGTACTTATACTTTCATACTTGGGAGTTTAATTTTTTTTACATATTCGTTAATTACTAGATGAATTTCAGTAGAACAATATTAGCGAAATTATTTGGACATTGTATTCTAGTTTTAGTGGGCTTGATTCTTGTATTTACTAATCGTCAATGTTAAACGCTTGTTTTTTTAATGTTTATATTATTTCCTTCTCATTTATTTCGTATTTACTTGTATTCTTTTTATTACCAATCCATAATTCTGTTTCACTATTGTATTATTAAAATATAAAAATTAATTCTAGCATTAGAATTAATATAAATGTTACTTATATTTAAATTGGTTTCGGCTTAAAATAATTTTTTATTGCAGAGAGTATGTGAGTGATCAGAAACAAACTAGTCTAAAGATTGCTTAAGTGCCGAATTTTCGTTTTTGTAAAAATTAGGCCAATAGTCCGAATTTCTAACCATACCTGTCCGCGATAAAGCACTGAAATATTTTACTGGCATTTTGAATAAATCGAGTTGAGAAACACTGATATAGAAGGCGGATGACTCACATAATTTCTCCAAATAAATGCTCAATAGGATGATACAGAGGGTCAATGCAACAGAGTGGACACTCTAATGTTCCTGAAACAATTCTTTACAATGCTAGGAATATGGTAAGTCACATTATTTGTGTAAACTATCCCTACCCTTTGAATTAAATCCTCATTTTTAAATTATGTACTTGGTCAATAACATATAAAATATTCTCAGTAGAAAACGAATCATGGGTTAGAGTCCCTTTGCCGTCAGGCTAACTGTGGGAGGTTTTTCTTTCCATGTGACGCAAATGCGTGTTAGTTCCATTCAAAAGTCCTCCACGAATGCAAATTTCTCCCAATACTTGAACCAAGATTTCTGGATTGTCTTCTAAATTGGGTTCAAGACTACGGAGTTGAACATTACTAGTAGTAAGCCTAAAAAGTAGGGTCGGCTGCTCAACGGTGGTTATAAAACAAAATAACAATGTGTAATAATGGTTTCTTATTCAGACTACTACACACGCGAAGTTTTATAACTAAACACTATTGCTCTGATGACAATACATAAAGCTAATATTAAATAAGGAAAAAAATTATTGGTAATTTTCATACACCTTTTTAAATGCATTTGAAAATATATGCTTTTTTATTTTCAGAAAAGGCGACATAAAGATGAAATTAATAGGCTTCGAAAGCTACATGAGCTGGATAGTAACCATTGGAAGTTGCATCATCAACTGCACATCTCAAACTCCACACAGGATAGCTGGATTGATGTATGTGTCGATTGTTGAGTACTACGAAACTGACAGAGAAACAGCTTCACTTCCAATTCTGATTTTTATCATTGTAAGATGTCTCGGAGGTACGTATAAATTAGTAAAATGAAATTTCAATGAAAGTTAAAATGTAAAATTAAAGCCTACGTGGAGGTTGATTACGAGACAAACAGAGAAACAACCTGAATTCCAATTTAGATTTTAGTCATCGTAAGATTTCTTGAAAATATAAATTAGAAGTAATGCTCTAAAAATGTAAAATTGACGCATGAATTGAATTTATGAGGTAAACTCCGAGACAAATAAAAAAACAGGTTCCATATCAATATTGACTTTAGTCATTGTAAGATATCTTGAAGGGAAGAATAAATTAATTGTAATGCTTTTACAATGAAAGTTGAAAATTTAAAATTGAAGCATATTTGGCTTTATGAGATTGATTATGAGACAGGCAGAAAAACAGCTTCAATTACAGTTTCGACTTAAATCATTGTAGGACGTCTTGGAGATACGTTTAAATAAGTAATAGTCTTTCAGTTAAAGTTGAAAATGTAAAACTGAAATAGATGTGAATTTATGAGATTTTTATACGTTGTGCATCTAATTTTTTTCCCCACAATATAACTTTGATCATGTTAAAACTGTGCATGCGTGTGATTTTAGTTTTAAAAATGTTCCTTTTTTTCACTAAAGCTACACTAATAGTCTGTTAGCAACGGTCTTGAATCATCCGTAGTGATGTTGATGATCCAAAGATATTACTGGAGTGCATGCACAACATAAGTTTTAGGGAAGATGCAAAATGTCTGATTTAAGATTTAGAGCATTTCTTAATCTTCTCCCTCGACAAAGCTAGTTAACCATTTATCAATAGTAACTACAATCTGAGGTTAAAATTCACATCCTACTTTTAAAATACATTTAACTTTAAAATGTACCTACGTGATACTGACTTTAAAGAAAAATACTGAGCACAGGTAAAAAAAAATTGCATTGTATAAAAGTATGTATTTGAACAACTCAAGCTAAAATAATACACATCAAAGAGTAAGTTTTTGCGTTTGTTAAGCATAGTTTTAAATAATCTCCTACCCAATCAACAATACGTAGCGGCTAATTGTAAAAAGAACACTTCATTTCATTAATTCATTCCTCCAACCAGTACAATCTTCAAGTATAAAATACAATTTCGCTTAAGTTTGTGTAGATCCACGTTACGTGGATAGAAAAACCATGAAACCGTGATTCCATTAGCTAGATAGCAAACCCACGAATCGCATTCATTGCATTTCAATCAATCGCATTCATTCAATCGCATTTCATTGGAGATATTCTGAGTCTGTGCTGCAGACTGAGAAGCGAACAATGTGTGAATCAACCAGTCATCACCAGGAATAAAATTAAAGCCACGTTTTTGGAAAATGGGCGCTCTACCCTCTCAACCATCCAAGCCTAATACTATTCATGACGGAATTTTTAAACTCTCATAAAATTGAAGCTTATTGCCCATTGAGCAAGCCGCAGTTATTTAGAATACAATCTTCGGCAACTTAGAACACTATTATTGGCAGCATATAATCAATTAACGACATTTATATAAAATCAGAATTGTGGTAAACATTAAAATGAGTTTTGAAAACATAAAAATTGAAACCACATATTCCCAAGTCACAGATAACTCTGAGAGTGCTCATGGTGACTGTTTTTATTCGTAACAGCATCAGCAATGATGAATGGCAAAAAGTCAAGAAGTAATTAAGACCGACTCTGATTACTTTCCCTATCTTCTACTTTCATGCTATTATTTTTTTAAGAAAACAAATGATTTATTTAGATTTTGCTAATTGTTTTAGTTTTAATTTAATAATTAATAATAACATCATTAATAACAACAACAAAAAAAAGATTAAGTTAAAAAATACTCTGAAAACTAATATTTTTTATAAATATTTAAATTCCATATTTTTTGACTGTTGAATGAATACATTTTTTTCATAACCTGAAAAAATATTAAAAAGAACATATTATGTTCTTCTTAATGCTAAATAATCGAAGTAGCTCTGTTACTAAATCTATAATAACTATGTTACTTCCGTCGAATCCGAATCTGTCTGTAAAAAGAATGTTTATGCAGGGAAAGTATGATTTTTGTGTCTGATTTCATAACTTAAAATATAGTCTGATATAATTAATTAGTATACTTCTGGTCACGCCCTCGAACACTTAAGATTAAGTTGTAAATATTTGACCATTAGATCAAACGTTATTCAAGATGCTCCATTTTTTTTATTTTGAGCACTGCAGATTATTCGCTTTGTTTAATTAGCATATTTTTAGTATGTATTACTCTCATTATTAGTGAACAAATTATTTTGGATTGAACTCTTATTTTCAACTTTATTTTGATTGAGAGTAAAAAGGAAGATTTTGTTTAAATTGATTGTTTAATTATAAAACTGTTATCGTATTTATTTAAAGGACCTTTTTGTGGAGTTTTGGGAGAAAAATTCAGTCCTGAGAACATAACATTATATGGGACAATCATTGCTGCTATTGGATTTGGAGCATGTTTCTTTGCACACAATATTGTCACTTTGTCCATATATTTAGGATTAATATTTGGTGAGAAATATTTATTTTTTCTGGAAGTAAATTGTGTTGACTTTTTTTTAAATTTTATAATATATGCGAAACTTATGAATAGTATAAGACTGAGAATATTTTTGGAATAAACGCTAAAAAGTTTTGAAACAGAATTTTTTTTATATATCTCTAATGCAGATTAGCAGACAACTGTAGGCAGAAAAACAAACCAAAAAATTAGAATGAGAAGCAGAGACAACAGTAACTAAACTGAAACCACAGTAAGTCTATAAATCGTTCATCTTGTGTCGGGATCTCCAGTATTTCTCCCACAAGTGTAAGGCAATAGCTCAATCGGTTCGTGTCCATTTCTTCACGAATGCTGCACAGTTGGCAGAGAGGACTTGAAAGGGTTTTCTAAATGCTTGGAGAGGCAATCGTGGGTAGTAGCGAGGAGAAAAGTAGGAACTGATTAGGCAATGGAATATTTGTGGTTTCCTCTATCCATTTCTTGTCTTTATTTGCCACCCTTATATTACAACAAAAATTCTCTCGAATATATTTTTTTAATAGCCGCTTCACGGTATGAAAAGGAATTTGTCTTTTTGCTATTTGAGAAATTGTGGTTGCCATCTTTGCTAGGAAATCAGCTGTTTCATTTCCCTGGAGTTCACAGTGCGCTGGCACCCACTGAAATGCAACTTCTTTATGGTTTTCAATTATATCAAGGCTAAACAAATATTTAAAATACGAGTTGACATCGGAGTCTCAGATGAAGCAATAGTCAGGAGGGCATAATAGTATGACGGACCTTGAGAATTTTTTAATTGACATTGTAGCTATGCCAAGGCGATTTGAATTGCAGAGATCTCCGTATCATAAGCTGTTTTATATCTTCCTACAGGAGTTTAAAATAAGAATAGCCTACAGGAGAACCCAGAGTCAGTATTAATACTGTCAGACACCATGGAGCCACCTGTAAACACGTGCGTGCAGCCATTCATTATCTGGGTACAGCTCATGGATAGTCTCTAAAACTGTAGCTTTTAGTATTAAGTTATTAATTTCTTTCTTAGGAACCTCATTTGACAGGTTTGTTCTAACCACGTACTTTTTTCCTTCACTCGGACATTGTGACTTGATGAGATTATCCTTTTTCCAGTTCAATCCTATTTGTTCTTTTGTTTCGATAACTCTCAGAAGGAAACCATTTTAGATTTTAAGATTCCAAGTAGATGATAGCAAAGAATTATTCCAAAAGGGAAGGCAATCTAGTCGTCTTGCAAACTTTTCCCATAAAATTAGTGCCCTCTCTTCTATAACTGATTTAATGTTAAAATCTTGGGTGATTATCAAAAGCGCATCAATCGGGATTGTTTTAACTTCTTCCGTAATAAGCCGAAGGTCTTTGTTTTGAAATCTTCTTAGAGAATCAATATCCTTTTTACTTGGTGACACCAGATGTTCGGAACAGTAAGTGAGTAGTGGCAAAATGTAGGAATTAAAAGTCAAGTCCAGGGTTGTACTACAGCATCCCCACTTAGAGCCATCAATTCTTTTCATTAAAGTAAGCCTCTTAGATTCCAATATGTCTCCAACGTGTTCTTTCCACGTCAGTCAAAAATAACACCCATATAAGAGAAGTAGTTGGTCTGAAGAACAGAGAAGTTTTGGTGAAGTTAGTTCAGCTTGATCGGTTGATGCGTGAGGTTTGATATACAGTTTTCGCTAAATTTATTTCCATATCATTGACATGACACCAATCACTTAATTTAATTAGAGCCTGATTAAAAGTAGTTATAGATAGTAGTTTAGCTTGTTTCTTAGGATTTTCAGTTCAGACAACCAAATTGTCTGTATAAAGTAAAGATTTGACAGTACTAATATTCAGCAACTCAGCAATAAGATTGTTTATATATATTGCATGTGAAAAAGTAAATACTTAGTTTCGGCTCCCTGAGGTAGTCCAGTTTTAAGGTTATTAAGATGTGAGAAGCTGTTCTTGAAGTATACTCTACATATACGCTGACCAAGAAAACTTCTGTACCATTGAAACTTATTCGATTGGATACCAATATTATACTTTTTCAACAAAAGACTTTCCCTGAAAATTATGTCATATTCAGATTTTAGATCTACGAAAGCAGCTGAGAGTGTGTGTTATTGTCCAAAGCAACCCTTTACCATCTTGCTGAGAGGAGCAACATGTTGGTTGGTTGATCTAAACTGCCTAAAGCCTGCTTGTCAGCACTCATTTGAGAATCGTTGATTCTTCTCTTTGCCAAGAAGTCTGCTCTTTTATTTCCCTGACGAACATATTGTGATATTACCCAATGGATGGCAATTTCTTTTTCGTTTAGAGTAAAGATGCTTTGTAACTGGCAACATTTGAAAACAGTAACAGATTCAGATGAAGAAATATCTTCAAGGGGCGCTTTAGAGTTATATCATGTTTCTATTATTATTATTATTATTAGCATTATTTATTTTTAAATTTTATTTAATGATTTTAGCAGTTACTCAAAGTACCACTATATAGAGTAGGGGTTCTCAAACATAGGGCTTTCAATTCAATCTAATTAAACAACATAGAAGGCATCCTGTTCTCATTATCTTATTTCATTTTTTCAAAGTGCCTTAAATTCCTTTGAAAACATTTTTACGACAATAAAAAACGAGTTTTGATCTTTTTTTTTTTAAACGTCAATGTTTTTTTTTATTTATTTCCAATAGCAAGGCAATACAAGGAAATAATTAAAACAACAAATTCAGAGTATAACAGTTGGCATAAAATAAATTGACCGAAGTCATTGCCATCATTAAAAGTTCAGTCATCATTAAAGGTTCTCTTGCTCGCCAATACAGTGCCGTCTCAGAGTCGCCATGGAGTGATGAGCAACAGTGGAGATGGTCTCTATTCATAGGCTCTGCCAAATTACATCGGCAGTTTAGATGGTGAAAAATCCCAATGCGATGAAGATTATTCCAAAGCGTCAAAGATATTTGAACGTCAATGTTGAGTAAGAATAAATTTCATTTAAGAAGTATCAAGAAACCAATACAAATTTTTTTAATCAAAATTTTTGCTACTAATTTACTTTAGAATGTAATACCTTATGTGTTTTGATAAATATTTTTGTTATAACTTTTTTAGTTATTAAAATTAAGTTCCTTTCTAAAATATTTAATTGAAATACAGATATGCTTATTATTATAATTACATAATTTGTATTTCGTTACAGGTATAGGTATGACAGGAAGTAATACATTTCTTCCAACCATAGTAAAGAAATATTTCAACAAAAATATTAACTCAGCAAATGGAATTTCTCAAGCTGGATCGTGTTTGGGAGCAATTCTTGTTCCACCCCTTGCTGTATTCCTTCTGGAAAAATATGGTTTACCTGGAACGTTTTTAATTGTATCAGCACTTATGCTTCATGCGGTGCCAATCAGCATGCTCATCCAAAAAGCAGGTTTAGTACAAGATAAAATCATTGAAACCATGAAGAGGAATAACGAGCTTGTCCATCAAGAGAAGTTACGTGAAAAAAATCAAAAATCTCCCCTTGACTCGAATAATAGTACTTCGGAGAAAATATCTATAAACAATCAAACATCTCTTTCTGACTCAGCTAACAAAATAACAGAGATGAGAGTAAACAATCAGAAATCTCTTCCTGATTCAGCAGAGGATATTAATACATTAGAGCAGATTCCTATAAACAATTATAAACTTCTCCCTGATTCAGAAGATAATAATGTATCAGAGCAGCTTTCTATAAACAATCAGACACTTCTTCCACATTTTGTTACTAAGATATCAGAGCCGTCTAGATTAGAACTTGAAAAGGGAAAGTTAGACGATACCATTACAGTTTTTAAAGGTACCAAAGCTGATAATAAAACTAATGATTGTGATCTAAGTAAAGAACAACCCGATGGTATTAAAGATAATGATAGTTTGGATACTTCTAAACTCTCTCTACAGTCTCACGTGTACAATCAATCAGCTTCTGAAAAAAGTTGCTCAAGTATCAGCAATGTAGGCAATGAGAATCGTGAGACTAATACATTAAATCATGGCGCTGAAATCTCAGATATATTGGAAATAAATGAAGCTATTCTACAGCCTCAAGATTGCAGTGATGATTCTGATAGCGACGATGCTGTCAAAACAAGCCTCCTTCCAGAAATGAAGACGGTTTCGTACATACATTCCGATTTAGAAAATGATCCAAAACTACCTGATATGACACAATATAAACAAATGATTACAACTTGCGTGGTTGCACCGATAGAGAATAATCCAGAAGTGTCAGCGATTTCAAACAGGTCACACAATCCAAAACCACACAAAAAAAGTAAATTTGCATTTCTTAAAGTGTTTCTGAACCTCCCCTTTTTAATTATAATGTTTTGCACTGGTATACATAATTATGTGACAGTTCTAGTGACGACGACAATGATTGATTACTCACGAGACAAAGGAATACCAAGATATAATGAAGTCTATTTTTTAATGATGCATCCATTTGTTGAAATCATTGGCCGTGTCAGCTTCGGTTGGGTGACAGACTTAGGGTATTTAACATTATCTAATTACTCAGTGATATGTTTTAGTCTTATGGGTCTTACATGTAGTTGTATTTTGTGGTCTGCAGACTTTTGGGTGATGATGTTGGGAGCATTGACTTTTGCTATATCGTGTGGTGCCTTGACTGCTATATTTCCAGGCATGGTATTTAGTTGTGTTCCCGAGGAGATGCAGTCGATGGCTATAGCTTCAAGATATGTATTAAGTGGACCTCTAATCTTCACAGCTTCACCATTAATAGGTAAAATCATTCCATATAACAATAATGAAATTTTAAGATTTAATTTTTTTTAATACTTTTATTTAGTATATATGTTACGGTGAATGACCGAAGTAGGTGGTTGTTGACTTTCACCGGTGAATTTGGAGAAACACCAGAAACGTAGGTGAAAGATCGAATATTTCATTACATTTTTGTACATTCGGACCCACACCGGTGTATGTTAAAAATCACATAGTCGCTTTGGTGAATCGGACATTCACCAAATATTTGTTATATCTAATTTTATAATAATTTTTTTGATATATTTATATTTATTGTATTTTTTAATACTTAATGACGATAGATTAGACATCAGTGAAGGGTATACCGAGCCAGTTAAGGTTAAGTGCCAGTGCCCGCTATACCCTACACTGATATTTTTTTAAGGTTAAGTGCCACTGCCCGGTATACATGTGCCCGGTATACCCTACACTGATGTTTTTTTAAGGATAAGTGCCACTGCCCGGTATACCCTACACTGATGTTTTCTTAAGGTCAAGTGCCATTGTCCGGTATATATTTGCCCGATACTTGGTGTATACCGGGCAGTGGTACTTATCCTTAAAAAAACATCAGTCTAGGGTATACCGAGCAAATGTATACCGGACAAATGTAAATGTATGGCCCGATACTCCAAACACTGATGTTTGTTCTAATCTATCGTCAGTAAGTATTAAAATATCGAATAAATGTAATTATATCCACGAATAAATTAATATCAAATCGAATGTAACAAATATTTCGGACATTCACTAAAGCGACTATGTGATTGTTGACATTCACCGGTGAAAGTCAGAAGTAAGGGTTTTTAGCAAATATTTCGGACATACACCAAACGACTAGGTGATTGTTGACATTCACCGGTGAGTGTCGGACAT